AGAACTGGCTGAGAGCACTTAAAAAAGTCATATGCATATAACTCAGGTCATTATCATTTATATCTCTGGAATTCTGTACAACAGAAAACAAGCAATTTCACCAAAAAAAAAAACCAACCTAAAAAATTCATCATTTCTAGCTCATCCAGAACTGATTCTTTTTTTTTTTATATAAAGCTGCACAAGCACTATGAGCTTCCAAGAGAGATGCTTAGCCAGTGTCTACATAGAGGGTTACTTTAGAATAAAGGAAAGTGGGGATTTAAAATGCTATAGCTATTCTGGAATAATACCCTAGAGGAGTGCTCCTATTATAAAAAAAAAGATTTTTCAGAGTTTTGTTTAATTGTTTCCCAGATGAATTAAACTAAATCAGACAAAGGTATTATTTCCATTAGCGTATGTTGTGTCAACAATAGGCATTTTCCTGGAACAGCACAGGTACTTAATTTCCACTGGTCAGCAAGTGTTTCTTTTCTAAAAAGCACAAAACAGGAAGAGGGCGCCTGAGCAAAATGCGTGCAGGAACAGTGACATGCTCTGATGCTCCGAGCAGTGGCAGAGACTGGCAAGCAAGAGACCTGGTGCAGGAAGGAAAATGTGCTGATGACCCCCACTCAGATACCATTGTTTCTTAGCCTTGTGACCCCCTCCCAGCTCCAGTTCAGCAGCACCAAGCTGCCTTTCCAATCTCCCACCAGTAATGCACATACCACACTCTGACTGCCACAGATCAGACAGGCTCTCTGTGCTCCCTAAACTCAGCAGGAATTGCAGGTTTTACTATCTGTCGCTTCCATATACAGAGCTCTTGCTTCCAGTAATTTGAAGCTGACTGTGCGGTATTTGCTGAACACTATAACTTGCTGTCTACTTGAATAAACAGCACTGTATATTCAAGAACTAGTATATGTAAATAAAGTGTAGATGAATGCATAAAAGACTGCACAAACAAACCAAGGAATGCCTGTTCTGCTCATAAGCCAAATGCTGTTCTTGAATATGCAATTGTACCTCCTATGTGGGTGATTCCATTTGCATCTGCAGATGAGATGTCTTGCACAGACACTGCAGACACATTATGACAGTGCCCCAGATAGTTTCAGGACAAATGTAAAAATGCATATTGACAGCAACAGACTGGCTAATGGCAGAGCCACAACCTGACCTTGCTTACCTAGACAGAGTGCTTGTTCCTATTGCCCCAAATATCAGACTTAGTGTTGTGATGCCTGGAGAAATATGAAGACCTACTGTGCCAGACATCATTTTAATTTCCCATAAAGCCAGCATCAATCAGCATATTTCCAGGAGCATCTCCAAATTTCACCAGTGTGAGACTCTCATGGAAGCCAAGTTCAGGATTTACTTTCAATATGAGCTTAATTTCTACTGAAGGCATCAATTTGCAAAACAGAGATTTAAAGTGAGAAGTACTCTTATGAATGTTTGAGAATAGATCAGTCTCTGATCTAACCAGATCTCTCCTATTGAAAATAAAGCTGAAAACGCATCGCTGCTGAATGTTGTTGCTAGTTGATGTGAGAAATATCTGTGGTTTTAGCAATGATGCATCCCACAGGATGTACAGGAGCCAAGGGCAGGACAGGCACGAGACAGAACCACTCATTCAGCCAAATAAGAAATCCTTACAAAGGCAGACTGAAACACTCAACAGCAGAAATCTCAGTGCTGCTATTATATAGTCTATGGGTACAGGGGCTTTTACATCAAAGGGTGTGAAAACCTGGTACAGTCACCCAAAATATTCTTTCACAACTCTATTCACAGTTACAACAACAATACAATCATTATCTAATGGTTACCTTGAATTTACAAACATAGTAGCTATCTGTTTCATAATGTTGACTAGGAAGACAAAAGCAAAAAAAAAAAAATCTGGACTGCCAAACCACACCTCCCAAGCAAAAGTGTTAGCAGAGAAAATAAATTTTAAAAAAACCACTTAACAAAATTAACTGTGATTGCACCATCAAGAAGAGAAATATCTCTGCCCATGCAATACAATCAGTCAGTGTAAAAACTCTGAAACTAAGATAACAAGTGAAGTACTTGGAAGATGATACAGGATGTTGCTGTGCTAAAATACTTGTAGAGAAATTCACAAAGGAATAGGATAAATCTCTTGTTCTGTATTGCTATAAATTATTTGCACTTTTTTGGTAGCTTGGGGACCCATTAAGTCCCATTTTGCCAGGTGCTGTTCAAACAACCAAAGCAGCCTTCCTCTGCACAGACTGAGACAAGTGTCTGCAGACCTCAGAAGTGGAGCACGAGAAAACACCAGGCTAGAGTTAGCTAAGATTAAAAAGGTGAGAGGTCTTTGCATAACAATAACAAAAATATTGCTAATATTTTCGCTAGCATCACAGTACTACACAACTACCTTCAATATTTCACTGTTTTTCTTTTAAGTATAATGCTTCTGTCAGAATCAGGAGTGGTCTAAGGCTCTGAGTCAGCACAACACAAAAGTACAAATCTGACTTTACACATGTGCTTACATTTTTATGACTTGTTTGCATTAAAGAAAACATACATATGAGAAGGGCAAGGGCTTGGTCAATCTATCAGTATAACCCTTCAGATCAGAGGATCAAGGGCATATAAGTAGCTCACAGGCACTCTATGCTACTGCTGTTGTGATCCATGTTTCCACAGTTCTTCCACATTTATAACATAATCCTTTTGTTGGTTTACATCTGTGACTGGAATAGCCCCCACAGTGCCATGTTGGGCATAGCACTACACTTTCAGGGCTGTTGCTGGAGTATACACCCATCTCCTGGGGTACGCTCACCTTCTGAAGAAGTAGCAAGGAGATTTCTCCTCTAGAAGGCACAGGCCCACAGTGACGCCGTTACAGGTGGAAGCTTTCATTTTTATTGCACATTTTTTCAAGAACATAAAGCCCAACCTTAATGGAAAATGAAAAAATGCAGCCAAGAAGCGGGAACATATTTCAGCATCCTGATTCAAAGCAACAGACCACATCCAGAGTGCTCAGTCTCATGGGGGCATGGGGTTAGTATCTGGAAAATAAGGTCAGTTGGAGATAACAATAAGAGGTCATTCCCACAAACTACCTCCTTTTAGCACAACATCATGAAATACAAAGACTATGCAATGTTCAGTATCATTCCATCAGAGCAGAAGAGATCAGGAAAGACTCAGGCACCATATACACATCAAGTACGCTTCAGCACAGGATCCACCTGTAAAGCCAAACCAGCTCAGCAGGGAAACTATTAGGATGCTATCATCAACTTTTAGTTCACTGAAGTTACAGCTAAGCATGCCCCGTGGCCTGAGCACCACCCCATTTTTACCAGTAGGTTATTGTTCTCTTTACTGGTCCAAGTTTCCAAATGACACAAAGCAAATGTTCACACAAAGCACTATGAAGAAAATCCCAATAGTTTTTCACTGAAAAGAGAATAATGTGTGTAATGCTTCAAAGAACAGACGTGATTCATTCTATTTATTTATTGTATTGTTCTTCAAAGCAGGACAGAACATACTTTGAAGGGAGCCAAGCCAGCCTCCCAAAGATTTCCAGCATGTCCCCTTTTGCCATGACCTATCTCAGACAACAACTTGCACACACAAGTGTCGTGGGAGGGAAGAGGTTACTGAGGCATAAACAGGTGCCTATAACCATTAACAACCTTTTCTTAGCAAGGCCATAAGGGAATCCAGGCTACCTCAGCAACAGTGTTCCCCCAAGAACAGCCTTTCTTTTCAAGACACAACACCAAACAATTTACGCAGGAGGTATAGAAATTTTTCTCTTCCGGGACCAAGATCTCACAAATGGAAACAGCACAAGCATGAGCAAAGAATAATCTAAAAGACAACTTGTAAACATCCAGTGCCCAAAGATTACAATGGTCAGGGTTCAACAAGCAGACCTACTCAAAAGCCAAATAGGAACTAAAAACCAGTGAAGCTCAAAGCAGTAGGGTTAGTGCTACAGCTTCTGCAGATCTTAATAATAACAATAACATATGGCTTCTTTCCATAAGCATTTACCCAGTGTTGTAGAGAGGGAAAGTCAGATTTATGAAAAAAGAAAAAGAACCCACACGTAGCAAAAAAGAAATTGTAGAAACACCACTTAAAAAGCTTCACCAAGATCACCCTAAAATTCAGAGGTAGTACCACACCAAACCAAGGCACTCATGCACTTATTCTCCTCTTCAAAAAGTGGTCAGGGACAGCTTAAGATCAGGAATATCATTCAGACATTCACCCCACTGCACTCCCCATCCTAGTGCAATAGTCTCTGCCCAACAGGCTAGATACTGAGACAGGTGTTGGGAGTCTTATGGCCCCCCACCAGGAGCAGCCAGAAAATCATTGCAACATTACTACTACTAGAAACAAAAGCTACGGAGAGCTCTTACGGTGGGGTCAACCCTAGAGTTCTGTGGGGCAATTGGCACAGAAGATAACCTGGAGAAAGTTATCCCTATACTGACCAGGTGGTAACAGAGGGTAATGTTGGGGGTTCCAGGTTAGATGTGAGATACAGGGATCCCATATGAAGAAGAAGGACCTGAGTGGGCTGCAAGTGGGATGGGGAACACTAACGACGGTCATGTGTGCAGAAGGCATCTGTGTGGGGACAAAGAACCTATGCATAGGTTCTGTTTGGGTGGGGGCTGCAGGCGGGATTAAGCAAAGGGTGGGGTGGAGTCCTCGGGTGGATGGGGGCCGGGTTGTGAATGGTGCCACGGGTGAGGAGCCTGGGGGCGGAGGGGACCCGGGTGTGGGGGGGTGCCGAGTTAAGGAGGACTCGGTGTCGGGGATGCCCCGTGGGGTCAGCACCGCGGACAGCGCCCGGCCCATCCCGGCCACCTGTGCGCGGCGCCGGCGAGGCGGCGGCGGAGGAAGGCGAGGAAACGGGGCCAGCCCGGGCTGAGCGGCGGCCGGGCGGGGAGGCGAGGGCGGCGGGGACAAGGACGCGCGCTCCCCACCTGGGCTGTGGCTGGATCTCAGGCGCCTTCCACAGAGACACTGCAGCATATGCGAGCCTTTCTCCAGGAGAAGCCCGAGAATCCTCATGGATTTCACTTTGTGGCGCCCTTCCGCTCCTCGGAAAAGGGACCGGCCCCGGAGCAGCCGGCTCTCAGCGGCGGGGCGTCGGGCCCCCTGGCCGCCAAACTTCCCGACCCATCGCCGCGGCCCCGCCGCGCCCGGGGGAGGGTGGGGGACCCCGCCGCCACTTCTCGGGACTTCTCCGCCCGCGGAGGGCCGGCTTTGCCGGGAAAGGGGGGCGGGCTGGCTGGAAGGACGTCAAGCCCTAGAAACACGAGCGGCCGGCTCCCAGCCCTGCCCCCTGCCGGCACAGCCCCCGCCGGGGCGGGGAGCCGCCGCCGGGACCCCCCCCTCTCCGCTGCCGGCGGGGGCTCTGCCGCTCCCCGCCCAGGGTCTGGTCCCGCCGCCCTGCACGGAGCCGCCGCGCTGAAGTTCTCCCAGTCCCGGCGGGGACAGAGGGAGGAGACGGCTCCGCCGGCCCCCCGGCCGCTGTCCGGTGCCAGGCAGGGTCGGTGCCCGCCGGTGTCTCCAGCGACAGAAGGCACCACGTGCAGGGGCACCGAGCATGGCCCTCCCGGGGCTCCCGGACCGGCAGAAACCACGGGACCAGCAACGTGGCCGAGAAGAAGACACATCTCTTGTCTTAAATCACCCGTGGGTGCGGGTGCCCGGAACTGGGGTGTTCCTATAAACGAGGGAGCTTCCGTATTTCCACCTACAGACCGTAAAGCACCAGCTTCTTGCAAAAGGCGCTCCATTGAAACTGAAGGTTCCTTCTTTTTTGCCCGTTATCGCGGTTACAGCGCTGCAGTCTTAAGTCTCAGTGTTTGAGCTGCACAGAGAAAGGTAGAGCCCGTAATTAACACGCAAGGATGGCTGGGGAAAGATGCTCTCCTTAGAACTGTTTCCAATTCATGAAATTACACAAAACCCAGACAAGGCTGGAAAGCACAGGAGCACAGAAAGTTCCTCTGAAAAAATAGTATTAGCATATACAAAAGCTTTTCAAATTAACTCTTTCACTCAGGTAGACTCCAACACTCCACTAAAAAGCAGCTACCTCTGGGACAAATAGAAATTCACCCTGGTGCAAGGCTGCTAACTGGATTACCTTGTGCTCAAGCAGGGTTACCTATTCACACAACACCTTTCAAAGCTTTCTCTTTTTTTGTTTCTCCTGGCACTGGGCAGAAGTGGATAGGCATCTCTGACCAGCTCAGGAGATGGAAGTTTTTCCAGACAGTGCACTCTAGGATGTTGTCTCTTGGCCAACACTTCACAGGGATGTGAGAGTGGAGATAAAGACTTTATTAACAATTAGTAGGAGGTCTCTCAAGTCCAAATGAAAAGAATGAGACACATGGGATTATATGATATGGGATGCAATGCTGATTTTCTCATCGGCAATCCCATTAGGATGGAATAGTAAAAGCCATGAAATATGTGGAGATTAGAGTACCAAGGCACATAAACCAGGCATAACAAAAGAAGTGCTGTTTAGGTGTGAGTCTATCGAGGATTTGTGGAAAAACTAGTATTTGTGAGAGCACCTGGAATCTTTCATGCCCTCAATAAATACTCCACAGTTTCCATCTTACTCTAGAATAGAGGGGGGGAAAAGAAAAACAGTTAAAATGCTAAATGATTCATGAAACTGTAGCTCTTTTTTTCCAGTCAGCTCTACTTCATATGCTGAAGAACAGCACTTAGCTAGAAGCAAAGCCAGTGGCATACAGTTCAAGACTGTTAGAAGGATGCAAGGTATTAATAACTAATCCCTGGGATTCATGCTAAACTCAGCTTTTGTTGTCTACTGTGACTTAAGGTGAAAATTATCATTTCTATGTCTTAATTCATAAGCTATTTTAGACAGGACATTGCATATGCACCAAGTCACAGCAAAAACCTAAATTAAACTGCTTTTCTCCACATCCCCACTTACACAGGATCATTGCTACACTTACACTCCTCAGCAAAACCTGATCCACAGCCGTCACAGAAGCCTATGGTGCCATGTCAGGGCAGATACCAAATTGAGACTACAGCTGTTGCCTCTCCTCTTCACCCATATTGTCCTTCAGTCCTCTGCTCTACCTGATCAGCAAGTAAGCCTGTAGGCCCTCTGGAATGAGGCCAAAAGTAGTTTGCACAATGAAGCCCTAAAACACAATTGGTGCTTCTTGGATACGTCTGTAATAGCACAAAAATAATAGTCCTCTTTCTGCAAATGCATCAGCAGCATGTTTGAGATGAGAACAATTCTGGATATGGCAGATCAAGGACAGCACAGGGAGATCTGGAGTCAAGGTGCCCTCCTTGCTTAGCAGCCAATAGGGAGCTGTAAATGAGGGGGCTCTCATTTAAAGATGCCAGGACTGAAGTTCAGCACCAAGTCCCAGGAAAGATGCACTTACATATTATATGTAGTAAGCTAGCATGGAAATAGGCAGATTTATCACATGAATGTGTGAGAACAAGTGTGTCACACACAACACAGACATTTATAAGAAGAAAAAAATTAGAATGCAACAGGTAGCTGAATTTTGAGACCTCTGTTCATTAAACCAACATAATTGTTCTTGGAAAATCTACTCAGAATAACCCACAAACCCACTAAAAAAATAATCCCCATTTCTTTGAGGAGTTACCATCACCTTGCAGGAAGACTGATGATCCAGCCTTTGTGGGGCAGGCTCCAAGGGGTCAGCTCCTGATTCACATCAGAGTAAAGGAGAGCAGACTCAAATCAGTGAAAAGAATGAATGTTATTTGGCATTCCCAAATAAGGTCCATGAGGACTGCAACGTGCACATGTTCTTCTTTCAAACTGAGTACGTTTACGTAAATTTAAACAGCAAAGTGGAAGTATAAAAATGGCAAAAGATGATTTTTTAGAACTGTGATGCATATGACTCAAGTGTTTACATGCCACAAAATACTCGTTAATATCATGTACCAATTAGGTAAATCTTAACCCAGTAAACAAAGCTCATAGAACTTTAAAAGATAAATGTAGGTGACATAAATTGAGATATTGCTAGATGTGTTAACTCATTTTAATCTGAAAACAAGGTAAACTAAAATAAAATTTCTTTCACCGCAAAGGGAAAGCATGTACCTAAACAATATTTCAATGGAACATAGTGGTGCATAAATCTTTCTTTGGCTCCATTGATGAGCTTGCACTACTAAATAATAATGCAAATAACATCTCAAAAGTTACTGTGAAAATGCTACAGATATTTAGATTTTTACCCAGTGGTAGAACACAGGTATTAGAAACAATCATGTGTTTGAATAAAAGTAGAGATTGCATTTACTGGAACACAAAGAAAGCAGTGAAAGCCTCACTGAGGTCAGAAGACATTTACAGGGAACACAGTGTCATGTGTGTATCTCCCTTATTAAATTAAAATGCCATTGGCCTTCTGAAGCACAGAACAGAAACAAGAATATGTTTGGGATTACGGAATTTAAATTAATACCTTCTACTAAAAAGAAATACCCTGTGCTCTGATCAGAGACAAATAAGGTGATTTAGCTGACAAGGCTCTTTGCTAGGTATTAAAATAGCATAATGTGCATGAGTTCATCAGTTACAAAAGCCAAGAAAGAAAGAAAATCTACAAAAGCTCAAAGAGAACAGACAGGAAAGGTAATTTCCTTGTGTTCATACAAAAGCAGGTAATGATCTTTCAGGGTGCTGGGTCCATGCTGTTCTGTTTCCACCATCCTGACCTGTAGTTCTTTGAACATTGTGACTAGTACACAGATAAACAGCTTGTGCAGGTGGGTTCTTTTTGTTTGGTTGATTGGTTTGTGGTTTTGCAAGTCTCTGTCTTTGTTGTATTTTCTGGCCAAACACAGGCAAGTATGATGAGAAATGGCCCATTAACCTCAGGACCTTTTTCCAAGCTGGTGCTGATCAGATCTCAGACCTTGTCCCTGTCTGTAAATTTACAGAACTGCTTGCACTTGGTGCTCATTTCTTGATGCTCACTCCATGGGTCTGTATGTGATGATACATTATTCAGTGATGGCAGAGAAACACTTCTCAGCATCCTTCATTGCAGGAGCCATTTGAGCAAAATCTACCAATGAGCAAATAAATACAGCCCTTTTCAGTGCAAACAAGTTTTACCCCATTGTCACCAATGTGCTGAGTATTTCTGCTTACCCTTTGCCCCTTCTTTATGAAGCAGAGCACTACTGACAAGAAGGGGTGGCAGATGTACCAGCCACATACAACTTCTACTGCACCCAGCTCCACCAAAGCAGAGCCTGCTCACACCAGAGCCACTGAGAGCTGCAGCACAAAGTTCAGGGGTTTGATGAAGGTCACAATAAATTTGTGGCCAAGTAGGGAATCATCTGTCAGTCCTCATTATGGTGATTTAATGAGAGGATTAACCTCTTCCTGATCAGTATAAAATTGTACTCATTATAAGGCAAAGATTCTTCTTGAAACTCTACCATGGATAAAGTATACCACACACCACCTGAGAGAAAATGGAAGATGAGAAAGTAAAAGAGCTTGATCTTGTACATCAGAATAATTTCTTAGTTGCATTTCTGAACAAGCGAGAACAGAAACCACCAACTCCAGCTCCTGGTGGAAAGACTGACTTGGTAAATCTCGGCCTCCTCTCAGCTCATCTAAGCAGGTTCAGGAGAAAAAGATGTCCCGTAGCCTTGATCATTTAATACATTTATCCTCAGACACATAAAAAGGTTATGAGCACTCAGTAGTTGCATTTCCTGATAATAAGAAGAAATCTAATATTACATGTAAAGAAGACTTTGTGTCTCAAATGTCTCAAATCAAATGAATTACAAAGAAATGGTTGTTCTGGATATTTTTCAGCACAGTGACACTTTCTCAGAAGCTAGAATTTCTAGGCCTTCTCCAAACTTATTTTGCTAGTAATACCAGCATCTCAGAACAGATGCTCTGGAAAAAAGGGCAGCCAGACATTGCTCCTTCCACCCACTTCCACTGCCCACAGCTGTCCTCATCTACAGGATGTCTCACAATGTGTTTAAGAAACCTTGATAGGTTTCTCCCCAACAAATTTTTCTAATCATTTTTTGAAGCCAGTAATACCACTGGTCTACTCGTTATCTTTTGGCAAGGAGTTCTATAGGTTAATCACGTGGCAGGAAAAAACTTGTATTAGTTTAAAACTGCTTCTCAGTATTTCCACTTAATGCTCCCCTTGGCTTATAAGGTGAGAATTATAAGATTATATTGTGAAATG